ACGAGGCAGAACATAGAGGGAGATACGTTTGGACAAGTAAGCTGGGCCAGAGCCATTTAGGGCAAAACCAGCTCTTTGAATTGTACTTGGAAATGGATCGGCAGCCAGTGGAAAACTACCACATTTAAAGAAGTGCAAAAACAGATGGATATATTTGTTCTGATACACACATTTATTCAGGATGTGAATTAGGCTGTTTCAAAAACTGTCTAAACAAAACTCTTGACCATCCTTACTTTTAGGTTTTACCTCACTTGCATCTGATCACTTAAGAAGAAAATTCTGCTGAGAGGTTGAACTAAAGGCCCATCTGGTAACAACAGTCTGATTGCAACAGCGGTCATTCCCTGTGTGCCTTTGAGCTTTTACAAGTAGGTCATGAAAAAATTGCTTTCATAGAGCACTTCAGAATTTAATAAGACCTCCGAAGCTGCATGCAATTAGATAATTGTGTTTTGTAGTCCAGAGATGGGGATGTCAAGATCTAAAGATCTGAACTCATTCAACACAGCTGGACTGATGAGCAGTATGATCCCATTAGGGAACATGTTTTTTATTCTTCACATTTATACCATTGCTGACTCTGGGTACAGAATAACTTTCCACCTTGGCTTCACAGTATCTAGTTTTCATAAGGGATAGGGATGAATATACCCAAGCAAAAATACCATGTACATCCCCACCTTATAAGATAAAGCACTCAAGGCAGCAGGCGTCATTGAAAAAATAACCACTACCAACTCATGACCTTTTGAAACGCCACACACTATTTTGCATTTAGGCTACTGCAGGTTTTTAATCAGGAAAGACTGAAGATTATATATATATATATATATATATATATATATATATATATATATATATATAAATTCTGAAATAGAACAGCAACAGCTGCTTCAGTGTCACTAATAAATTACAAAAATACTAACTCTAATAATAATAATAATAATAATAATAATAATAATAATAATAATACCAACAACAACAATAATTTTATTTGTATTCCACCCTATCTTCCCAAGGGGATTCAGGGTGGATTCCAACATAACAATGGCAAACATTTAATGCCTACATAAAACAATTACTAACATAAAATTCCAGAAAACCCCCACATATAAAAGTAACATTAAAACTTAACATCAAGTTAAGACCTAACATCAGTAAATTAAACCTGACATCAATACATTAAACTACACATAGTCAGACAAAAATCTATAATAACATACATCTAAAGAAAATACCCACATTAGTGTACAACAGTCAGCAAGGGTTCACAAAATGGTATGGGTTGGTTATGTGGTCAAATGAGGTCATTGGGCTGGCGTGGACCAGGAAATACAAAAAGTTCTCAACCAGAGGCCCGGCAGTGATCTCTCAACCATCTATTTCTCCTCCTCTCCATATGCAAGTGAGCAGAAGTAGGTCGTCAGTTGTTTTTCAAAGAAGAGGGGGGAGGCAGCCAGCTTTAATTTTTTTAGGGCAGGAGTTCCAGAAGTGGGGGGCAACCATGGAGAAGGCCCTCTCTCTCGTTCCCACCAGCTGTGCTTGAGATGGGGGTGGGGCTGAGAACAGGGCCTTTTATATAAAAGTAGGATATTTTTGCTATAGTAATTATACAACAAGGAAAATAAACTGTCATGTAAATATTAGGTCTCTTTCAATTCTAAAACTCAAAAAACCCAGAATGTTCTGTTCATATAGTAATATGAATGTGTTTTCAGAAGGAAGGAAGAACCAAGGCAAGATAGAGAGTTAAGGATGCTGACAAGCCTTTTTAGATCCTTCCATTACTAATTTTGCTATTTCTGCCAGATCTGCCTACACTATCACTGAAACTGCAGTGGAGAAGAACAGTCTAATTCAGACAACACTGACTTGTTTTAAAATGAAATGTTCAGGGAACTGAATTCTGTGGGTTGTATTCAACTATGGTTTCACCTTACCCCAAAACATCTGTCAGGGCACCCATATATCATCATTTGAAAATGGAAACCAGAACTTGGCACTAACAAATGATCACACATTTAGGGTCACCTTCACACTCCACAATTATAGCCCTTTCATACTTGCCACATGGCTGCATCCTATGAAACACTGGAATGTGTAGTTTGGTGAACTCTCTAGCAGAGTATTTTACAGCAATCATATCCACAAAGCCAGTTAACACTGCCTCTTATCCATGGTTTCGCTTATCCACTAACAGCCTCCTGTACATGCTACACTCTCTTCACAGTACTTCTATTATCTGAGTGTTCACATATTCATATGAAATATAGGAAAGTATCCCCTGTGGATACAGGGGTTATACCATACCTAACAAACCTACAAAATCAGGATTCCACAGGATGCTGCCATGGTACTTAACATGGTATTGAAGGGCTGTAATTGTGTAATGTGAAAGAGACCTAGGGTGCAATGTCAGTATGGCCTGCCCAACACTAAGATATAGTCTTGAGTACTAAGGAATCTACCAGGGATGCTTATTTCTTAAATGTATATCCTATTTTACCCCCAGAACTGAGACTCAAAGGTGTCTCACAAGATTAGTTTAAAAGAGGAATAAAAGTACCAATATCATATTAAAGCATAATTACATAGATTTGTTGGTGTTATTTGTTCAGTCGCTTCTGACTCTTCGTGACCTCATGGACCAGCCCATACCAGAGCTCCCTGTCGGCCGTGGCCATCCCCAGTTCCTTCAAAGTCAAGCCAGTCACTTCAAGGACACCATCCATCTTGCCCTTGGTCGGCCCCTCTTCCTTTTTCCTTCCATTTCCCCCAGCATGTATCATTGTCTTCTCCAAGCTTTCCTGTCTTCTCCTTATGTGGCCAAAGTAATTCATCTTTGCCTCTAATATCCTTTCGTCCAGTCAGCAGCCAGGCTTTATTACCTGGAGCATGGACTGGCTGGATCTTCTCGTGGTCCAAGGCACTCTCAGAATTTTCCTCTAACTCCACAGTTCAAAAGCGTCTATCTTCTTTTGCTCTGCCATCCTTATGGTCCAGCTCACACATCCATAGGTTACTACAGGGAATATCATTGCTTTAACTATGCATAGATTATAAAAGGTTAAACCTTATTTAGATTCTAGGTGATAATAAAAGCACGGAGCCCCCATTCTCTGCAAGCAGTCACACCCTGGTAAGCTACCAGATGCTTCCCCCTCCGATAGTGGGGGAATAAGCCAGATCCAGGGCCCATGCCGCACACCTGCAAGTTGTGACAAAGGAACAAAGCTCAATGAAAACCATTGATCCAAAGAACATATGAAGGGTGGGTGGGATGGGACATCAAAAAGGCACGCTGCCCACAAGCAGCCTTGCACAGCCTTAAAAGACTGCCCGCAGTTTGGGGGTGGCTGGGCACCCAGCCAATTAGGGGGTGAAGGGAGGCCTCCACTGATTGACTGGCCAGTCATCTGGCAGGAAGAAGAAGCCCCCACTGGAGCAATGGCATGCGGGAGTGTGCCCTCCACCACAATCTCTCCACCTGGTAAGTCGGGCAGAGCCCATAGCTTGGGAGCAATCCCCAAGAATGCCATTTTTCACATCTCACTTCCCCCATTCCCACCTCCATCCTCTAGGTTTGGTGAATGAAGAGAAGCCAAATTCCTTCACAAATGGAGCTCGGAGATGAAGAGAGTAGGAGCTCAGTGCACAAGAGAATCTGGAGGGAAAGCAAGACACTCCTGGAATAAAAATGTCAGGCATCTGGTTTCTTCTATTGACCTGTTCCTTTCATATTTTGAGATAGGTCTTCATAGGAATAAAACTATTCATAAAAGGCTGCCTAGAAGCAAGCAAGGATGCAGGAGGAAAGTGTTCTAATAGTGTGACATACAAAAGATGGTGTATAGCAGTGTTTAGGGAGCATACCGACTCCCGTTATGCCAGCCAATCTGCTACTGAGCACAAAAAAGTGCTGGCTTTAGCCTATACTAAATGGTTCTGGCCCAGTTTACCTGTCCGAATGTATCTCCTCCTATGAACCATCTCAGAGTTTAAGATCGTTTGGGGAGGCCCTGCTCTCGGTTCCGTCTTCATCGGAGGTGTGATTGACAGGCCCTTCTCAGCTGTGGAACTCCCTCCCCAGGGACATTAGATCACCCCCCCCCCCCACTCCCTCCTGACCTTCTGTAAGAAAGTAAAAACCTGGCTTTGTGACCAAGCGTTTGGAGAACTTGAGAAATAGAAAGATATGGAACTGATGTGTATTGACTAACTGTAACGGCCAGACTACATTTAAGGATCATATGATTCACTACAAGTGTATTGTTTTATATGATTTTGAACTGTTTTAATGTATAACTCTGTTTATATATTTGTAATTGTACATATCCTATGGCTTCATATGGTTGCCTACTTGTAAGCTGCCTTCAGTCCCCTCCGGGGTAGAGAAAGGCAGGGTAGAAATGCCATAAATAAATAAATAAATAAATAAATAAATAAATAAGACATGAAAAGACCCAAGTCTTCCAACGAAGGAAAAGTTAATCACAATCAGAAGATCCATGACTCCTGCCTCCATTTCTCACTTATGAATACCAAGGAAAGAAAGAAAGAACAATCAACCCCAAAAAGGCGGGTGTGTCAACATGGCACCGGAAACTGGCAGTGGCAAGAGAAAAAAAGCAATAAAAATGACATGAAATCCGCAGCCATCAAAATTATCTTTCTGTTAAGTTGCTGCTTTTATTGTCATCTGGTAGACATTTTAATGTTGATTTTGTGACACCTTTATGAAACTGAGTCCACCTGGAATATACAAATAAATCTTTTCCCTGCTCCATTCTATTCACGTTAAAAGGTGGTTGCTATGAAAATCTGAAGAGAAAAGATTTAATAAAGCAGGTGATAATGCTACAGGACAAAACAAAAAGAAGGCACTCTGTCATATAGTAGGTGCACAACTACATGTGACTTTAAATTAAGAATTAGTAATGCTAATGTTTAGGCATTACTGCGGAAGACACCTTTCTCCAAATGCTGAAAGATCAAAATTAAGGCAACGCATAATATATTTTTATTTCTCTTTAAAGCTATTTACAGAGGAAGTCATTAATTCTATCAAGCAGCCACAAGGCCTGCAATATATGAACATGTTAAAGAAAAGTTGAATTTATATATTTACAAAGTCTGAAAATGTTGGAACACATGTTTGATTCAACTTCCAAGTACAGCTTAACTTCCCTGATTATAGCCCATTTCCTGTAGAATCAAAAATACAGGCTGTATTAGATAGATATTGTACTCTCGAAAACAGTGTTGTTCTATACAGATGTGTGCATATTGTGTGAACCACTAAGAGAGCAACTAAGGCAGAGTAGAGGCCATGGCCTTTTCCCAAGGAAACCGTTTTTGTTTCATGGAAGTGAAAGGTACTAAACTCAGATTGCCTGTTGAATAATTTAAATTATCCAAGTCAGTAACAGAAGAAATGTAGCAGCTGTCCTGTTACCCAATGCCAAAAGCTCTTCTTTCTAATGAGTCATTATCAGCCACTTTCTGTGTTTGTTGTCATTGTCAGCGAAGGCTCCGGTAAACTTATGGGTGTGCTCTGTTCCACAGTTGTGTCTTATTTCCCTGTTGGTTTATCAGGATGCATTTCTGGGGTGTAGGTAAGCAGGACAATCATGACCCAGAGGTGAAGCAATGCCTGGCAAAACAGAAAAAGCAATTAGCACACCGACATATGAACTGTAAGAGATCTAGCTCCTTGGTGCAAAAGCTCAACAAAGAACTGGGAACCACAGGAAGAGATCAGTACAAACTGAAGCTGCTGAATCTGACCCAACAGCAGGGAGGACAATGAATGGTACCAATGGTGTTTTCACATGGTGTCAACCATGCTGGAACTTGTCATGTGCACAAAATTAGAATAATAGAGTTGGAAGAGACCTCATGGGACGTCTAGTCCAACCCCCGGCCAAGAAACAGGAAAATTGCATTCAAAGCACCCCCAACAGATGACCATCCAGGCTCTGTTTAAAAGCCTCCAAAGAAGGTGCCTCCACCACACTCCACTGCTGGAGAGCTCTCACAGTTAGGAAGTTCTTCCTAATGTTCAGGTGGAATCTCCTTTCCTCTAGTTTGAAACTGTTGTCCTGCATCCTAGTCTCCAGGGCAGCAGAAAACAAGCTTGCTCTCTCTTCCCTATAATTTCCCCTCACATATTTATACATGTCTCCTCTTAGCCTTCTCTTCTTCAGGCTCTTTAAGCCACTCCTCATACGGCTTGTTCTCCAGACCCTTGATCATTTTAGTCACCCTCTTCTGGACGCATTCCAGCTTGTCGACATTTCCCTTAAACTGCAGTGCCCAGAATTGGACACAGTATTCCAAGTGTGATGTGACCAAGGCGGGATAGAGAGGTAGTATGACTTCTCTGGATCTAGACCCTATACTATTTATGCAGTACAAAATCCCATTGGCTTTTTAAGCTGCTGGCTCATGTTTAACTTGTTGTCCACAAGGATTCCAAGATCTTTTTCATAGACACACAAGGAACCTTCAGCAGAGAAAAAAATCGGACTGTTGATGTCTCAGTTAAGTGCTGGTCTATTAAAATATCCTCCCTTCTCTAAGGTCATATAAAATCCAGATTATCTGAACTAGGCTACATGGTAGTGGAGACTCATATATTTTCTTTCAAAACAGATCATCTGGACTTTACATGACAGTGTAGATGGGGCCTTAGTTTGTAGGACAAACAACAGAGGCTGTAGCAGCTTTTGCAAACAGAAGTTACATTCCCTTGAGAAACACAGAAAACACAGCGTCATTTCACACCAAAGAGATAACACCTAATTAGCTACTCTCTTAGCTTAAAAATGTATGGAAGAAACGCTATGATGAGAACAATGACCTTTAAGTTCTATATTTCCCTTCCTCCACCTTAGCCACCAATTAACTACTTCATCACACTAGAGAAAAAATCCACTTTAAATCCAGTTTCTGCCGCCTGCAGAATTCTGGGATTTGTAGTTTGTTGAGACTGTTAAAGGTTCCTCCTAAACTACAAACCCCAAAATTCTGCAGGAGGCAGCAACCAGATTTAAAGTGGATTCATTCTCTAGTGTGATGAGGTCCTAAGCTAGTTTAATTCATGGTCAAATCTGTTTTTAAAGCCTTTCTTTGACCCAAGAAGGTACAACTTTAAATTGGTTAACGCAAAAGGTCTATGTGGCTAAAAAGCAAAATGCAGTTCCTGGCACATTGTGAAAAACCTTTCAAATACTACAGTGACCTTGTTTGAGCCTCCTGTGGGCAACGACAATGGCTGCTGGAGAGATTATAGATTACGTTGTAGAAGGGCTGATGACCTGCTGATTTTCACCACAGATGCTAACTGAGCTTGGATCTTTGTCTAAAGATTTTAATGTTAAGTGGGCGTTGACTTGCTCGTCTGAACAATTTTTAACAGAAAGGAGAACAGAGTCCCTTTGATTTGATGTCTGCAGCCAGGAAGGTGTTGAGAAGTGAAATAGCTGAAGTGCTGTTCTGCCCCCTGCAGCATTTCAAATATTTTATTTTGCAGTCTATAAAAATGTCAACCTTAGAAACACAGCATGATTTTTCCAGAGAAACATGTATGTAGTCAGAAAGAGAAAATCAGCTGACTTTAGAAAAGGATTTCTTACATAACTTTATGACAGGCTCCATCAAATCAGTGCAGTCTAGCTATGTTTGACTACCATCCCCTATCACTTCAAGCCATCAGAGAAAAAGCCCATGCTGGCTGGGAGCGATGGATGTTGTAATCCAACAAATCTGAAGGACATAATTTTGTTGAAGAAAAAAGTTTCAGAAAAAAGATCTATTTCTGCTTTATTGACTATTCTAAAGCCTATGACTGTGTGGATTATAATAAATTGTGGCAAGTTCTTGGTGGTATGGGGATACCAAGTCACCTTGTCTGAGGAATCTCTATAATGGCCAAGTAGAAATACTAAGAACAGACCATGGAACAACAGACTGGTTCAAGATTGGGAAAGGAGTATGGCAGGAACAACAGACTGGTTCAAGATTGGGTGTATACTCTCACCCAACCTACTCAACTTGTATGCAGAACACATCATGCAATATGCGGGGCTTGATTAATCCAAGGATGAAGTTAAAATTTCTGAAAATGTAAAGGTAGTGACAGACTTTGTATTTCTAGGTGCAAAGATCACAGCAGACGCACACTGCAGCCAGAAAATCAGAAGACGTTAACTTCTTTGGAGGAGAACAATGACCAATCTTGATAAAATAGTGAAGAGTAGAGACATCACACTGGCAACAAAGATCCACATAGTTAAAGCAATGTTATTCCTCATAGTAATCTATGGATGTGAGAGCTGGACCATAAGGAAGGCTGAGTGAAGGAGGAAAATTCTGAGAGTGCCTTGGACCGTAAGAAGATCCAGCCAGCCCATACTCCTGGAAATGATGTTAGGCTGCTCACTGGGCAGAAGGATATTAGAGGCAAAGGGGAAGTACTTTGGCCACATCATGAGAAGACAGGAAAGATTGGAGAAGATAAACATGATGGGGAACATGGAAGGAAAAAGGAAGAGGGGCCAACCAAGAATAAGATGGATGGATGGTATCCTTGAAGTCATTGGCTTGACCTTGATGGAGCTGGGGATGGTGACAGCTCACAAGGAGCTCTAGTGTGGGCTGGTCCACGAGGTCACAAAGAGTCGGAAGCGACTGAACGAATAAACAACAAACTTTTATCATCTTCATGATCATTAATCACCTTCATTTATCACATTTGATGCATGTTGTGGATTTATTCTCCCTTTGGAACAGCTTAATAATTTTAGGAGCATGGCAAAAGACTAGGATGTGGAACAATGGCTTCATACTACAGGAAAGGAGATTCCACCTGAACATTAGGAAGAACTTCCTAATTGTGTGAGTTGTTCAGCAGTGGAATTCTCTGCCCTGTTTAAAAGCCTTCTTTGGAGGCTTTTAAACAGAAGCTGGATGGGCATCTGTTGGAGTGCTTTGAATGAGATTTTCCTGCTAATTGGCAGGGGTTTGGACTGGATGGCCCACGAGGTCTCTTCCAACTCTATGATTCTATGATTCTGTGAAATGCCCCCTCAATCAATAGCAATTATCATAATTACTGAAAATTCTAGTCAAATATAAAACTGCACCAGGATACATTTTTTTAAAACACAATTACTTCTAAGTTACTCCAATCTCTCTTGTGCTGCACGTTCATGAGAACCAGGTTGCATAAGCTACTTACAAAGAATGCTGAACTTCCAAAATTAATTATATCTCATACTTCTTGTATGTGCCATTCAATGCCTGTCAGATCAAGATTATGTATTATGTAAGAAAGACTAAAAATGCTGCCCTTTAAGTAGATTAAACAGACTCACCATATAAATAATAACAAATACTCTTGCAATGGGATATCGCCGTAGGAAGATTCCAAGTCGAATGCTGTTACCAAATATAATAGAAACATTAGCAATATAGACAGATATTTCTTTGCTCATATTTCCTTCAGTATTGCCCATAAACTACTGCTAAATTCATACTTCTAAAATGTGTTACCGTGGACTCAATATCCATGGTTTCACTTACCCACGCTTTGAAACTAGTCAGTGTTTATGAGCCAATCTAGGTCCTCCAGTGAAATTCTATGCTTTGCTTCTGGCCCACGTGTAGTCAAAATAGAGTTTTGTTATTATCTTCACTTTCAGGTATCCACAGGGTGTGTGTGTGTGTGTGTTTCTTAGAACGTACCAGCAGTGGATACAGGAATCATACAATAAATAATAATTTCAAATGATCACTGCATTTAGAGCTACTATGGCCAAGTGATCAGATGGCCAATCTTCTTGTGACAAGAGCCTCTCCATACTTAGTTTGGCTGGTCCTCAAAAGGCAGTCAATCGGTTTGCCACCAGAGCGATATCTGAAACCTTATCAGCTTGGCATAACCTGTCAGGGCCAGCAAAGACTTTGGGGAACCATGTCATCTAAATGCCACAGTGAAATGCCACAGAACAACTTAATGGAGCATTGGTCTGTTGAGGAAAGTAAAACCCATTCAAGTCAAATTCCATTCTTCCTCCTTCCTCAAATTCCTACAGCAACATAATGCCACTAATTTCAAATGTGACTTGGTGGACTATGAACTATATCTCAATTGTCTCCTCTCTTCTGATGGAAGGCTCTTTGATCTAGCACAACTTTTCACAGAACCAAAGGAGAAGAGCAAAGAGAAGGCCTTTTCCAGTTGGCGCCTACATTGCTATATAATGCAGTTTCATAATGCACTGAATTGCATAATATGAGTCTATACTGCCATAGCCTCTGCATCTCCTTGCACCTCCTCCAAGTTTGCTCCAGAAACTGGGGACAGAAGACGTTAAACAAAATGGAAAGTTGGAGAAGGAAGGGGAATTTGCAAAAATTCAATATCACACCCTTTCTGCTTGCTGAAACCTCCAATGGAACAAAGAGATGTCGATCATGAAATGGGACACAACAACATAGAACATTATGGGTGATAAATTTTATAGCTATATTTATTGCTGATATAAGTATATGAGGATTACAATCAGAGCCCTGCAAAACATTTTAGAACTGAAATAACAACAACAACGTTTTTAATGGTTTTTGTATTGTATTGATTTTATAATGCTGTTTTAAATGTTTTAATTGTAAATTGTGGATTGTTATGGCATCCAATTGCTGCCAATTTGTAAGCTGCCTTGAGTTGCCTTCAGGCTTAAGAAAGGCAGGATAGAAATATCGTAAATAAATAAATAAACTGTTGTCCATGCTGCCTAGGGCTTGTGGAAGTTGAAATCCAAAACCTTTCATGAGCCAAGCTTTTTCAACCCCCAATTTAACCCTTTTTGGTAAATTATTTTTGTGCTGGCTCAATGGGTTAAACCCTTGTGACCCTGAAGGTCAGCAGTTCGAATCCACAAGATGAGGTGAGCTTCCACCTGTCAGCTCCAGCTTCCCATGTGGGGACATGAGAGAAGCCTTCTACAGGATTCGAGCTTCACATGGGCAACGATCTTGCAGACGATCCTCTTATACCAGAAGTGACTTGCAGTTTCTCAAGTTGCTTCTGACATGATAATATTTTTTTTGCATTGCCAACTAATTTAGACAACACAATAAACAAAAATGCCAAAATAGCACCATTTCCTCACCTAAACCGATCTATACTGCTGGCCGCTCTGCGAACTTTGGCATACATTCCCGCTACGTTCACATCAACATCGCTAAAAAGGACAGGAACATTGCGCATACGAGTACCTAGAACAAAAATATTGAGAAAACAACAACATGGTTATTTCTTTTTTTATCCATATCTCCCACAATTCAGTTTCACTAGATAATTCCAGGTTATGAGAGACAAAAATGAAGAAAAGGTTTCTTTTCCACAATATGCATAAATTTAATCTCCTCTCTCATAGCTCTCTCCTATTTTCCCCTTTTCTAAAAATAAAAAAGCCCCAAATGATTAATTTTCCTTGCAGAAGAATTGTTTTAGTCCCTTGATCAAGTGATTACCCATCCTCCATACATTTCTACTCTTTGTAATGGCAATAGAGTAATAAAAAAGGAAGGGGGGGGGGGTTAGACTTAAAACCTAAAGTTTTAACATAATAACTGACCTGACTATAACCCGGGCTACAATCCTAAGCATATTTACTTGGCAGGTAAGCCCCATTGAATACATAGGGACTTATGTCTGTAAACAGATTAAAGTTGTGCTACAAGGGATGGAGAGTACGTGGCATTCCAAATGTTGTTGGATTGCAACTATCATCATCCCTCATTCTGTTCAGTGTTGCAGTTCTACAACACCTGATTTCCTCATATAAATGATTTTCTTATTCAGCTGAGTAATATTGAGACAAGAAAAGTTGGTGGAAGGTTTGAAATGCCAGGCAAGATATTTCCCATTATCCATAACTTCTTAGTTTATATGTTTAAAATGAACAGGTGTCTGGGAGAGTGTCATATTTTTGAGGGATGATGAGAACTGCAATCCAGCAACATCTGGAATGGCACATACTCTCCATCCCTTGAAGCACAACCTTTCTGCATTGGACACCAGATTTATTTTCCCCATTCCAAACCCATTGATCTAAGCAATTCATGTAACTGGGAACTTGAGATGCTATAAACATGGCCATAAAAAGTGGCAATATGCCATAAAGATAGTATCAGAACTACAGCTGCCTATTAGAAACAACAACACATTCAAAGTCTATATAAACTTATGGCTATAGTAAAAGAGGAAATTGCTAGATGCAAAATTGTAAACTTATACTCCAGTGTAAAATACCTAGAGACTGTCATTTCAAATGTTGAGGAAATTTTGAAGGGCCGTGGTGGCACTATGGATTAAACCCTTGAGCTGCTGAACTGCTGACCTAAAGATCAGCAGTCCGAATCCACTGCTCCCACTGTTAGCCCTAGCTCTTGCCAACCTAGCAGTTTGAAAACATGCAAATGTGAGTAGATAAATAGGTACTGTTTTGGCGGGAAAGGCAAAAGACGCTTCAAGCAGTCTTGCCGGCCACATGACCAGGAGGTAACAACACAGGCTCCTCAGCTTGAAAATGGAGAAGAACACCTCCCACAGAGCCAGAGCTGAACACTGTATCCAGAAGCCGGAAATGAAAAAAGGAGAAGCCTTAGCTTGTCTGGGTTTGTGTGTCTTATTGTATGTGACTGTAAGGCACTGAATATTTGCCTATTTCTGTTGTAAATGCTGTAATCTGCTCTGAGTCCCCTAGGGGAGAAGGATGGAATATAAATAATAATAATAATAATAATAATAATAATTATTATTATTATTATTATTACTATTTCTGGTGTTCACACGAGACTGCTATTGCTATGTAACTAATATAGCGCCATCAACTTACATGAGGAGCTATCAGATGACTCCAAGAAGATCATGTGGTACAAAATTTATCCAGAAAAAAACCTTAAAAATATCAGTTTTTCCAAACCAAACTGAAAAAGACTGGCCGTGATCAATAGCAACAGAATGCTGATTGGTGGAGTAGAAAATGGAAAGCTGGGTGGGAAGGAGAATGGAATGGAGCACCCTGGAAAAGTGAAGCAACATTACAAAATGTTGCAGCAGAAAAACCATCAATATTTGCACAAAGCAACATACAAAGCATGAATTCTTCGTTAACATATTCATACCTGCACACACATACACCTACCTTCACTGCTTTCAATCCCTGCCATGTTAATGGTGGGGCCATTTGTCGAAGGGCCTTGGACAGCCTTCATCTGCTGCTCCAACTGCTCCAGCTGATAGACTAAGGAGTTTTTCTCTGTGCTGAGATTCTCCAGCATGGTCTGCTTCTGAATTAGTGTCTCTGTCAACTGGTGCAGCCGATTCTCCAACTCTGATTGGCTGCTGCTGCCCAATGTTTTGTTTGTTAGCTGAAAAACAAGGAGGAATACAAGGATTGCAGGAAGAATAATGGCAGCTCAACTCCTGCTAGTGAACTGCAATGGTATTATGTCATTGAAACTCACTTTTACGGTCATTGCTGAGGTTGGGATTCTGTTCCCATGATTCAATTACTAAAATCCCACCCAATGATCCAATGTGCCAGTTTCAATGTTATCAGAGAGAGAAGGGTTCTCTTTGGGTCCCTCTTATGTCTGATATAACAGACTGCATTTTTTATTTAATTTTAGTTGTTAAGCCATAATTTGTGTTTATATGTTGGGTTGCTAAATTTTGTTACTATGGATCTATTATTGTTTGTATTCAGGCACTGAATTTTGTCTTTTATGTTTTGAATCCTCCCTGAGTCCCTCCGGGGAGATAGGACGCAATATAAATAAATAATAATAACTATTATTATTATTATTATTATTATTATTATTATTATAACACTAAACACGACAATTCTTTGGTTGACATGAATACTAAGAAAGGGCTGAAACTTTCCAAACAAAACTGTTGGTAGCATAATCTTCCATAGATTAAGGGTGCAGAACTAATGCAGCATGACACTACTTTAACTACCATGGCTCACTGCTATGGAATCATGGGAGTTGCAGTTTGGTGAGACACCAACATTCTTTGACCTTGTAAAACTGCCACGCAGTGATGCCATACTAGTCTGATGCATTAATGGCATAGCATTGACTATTTATGTATCTTCACAACAAGTTTCTGGTTGTTTAGTGCTTGATGACAATATATCAACTAACAGTATTCATGAAAAATTATCCCTTTACCTGGTTTCTCAGTTTCTGAATCTCTTCCTCTCTGTCTGATATTCGACTCTGGAGAGTATTCTTTGTCCGGTACAGTTCTTCTTCCGTATAGCGAAGCTCCTAGGAAAAGAATTGTTTATAACAATGATTATTTTATAAAATATTATTGTTAAGAAAGCCACATGGAAGGTGCTCCAACCATGTCCCATTGGTTTGACACATTTCCTCAGCTACAGATAAAAGAGTGCTTATAAAGACATTGTGTACATCTTTACTGAAAAACTGAGAAGAGAACAAAGGTATTTGCATGCAATAAACCTTATGGAGTGTTTGTGGAGTGTCTTCAGGCATTTCCATGCATTTGCAGGGCTTTCCAAAAATCACACCATTTAAAAAAAATGTGGTGGGGCGAAACGAAATGATTATGTTCTCCAACTTCTCTTTTGGAAGTGTAGCATATCTCACTACAAGAGATCTTTGTCATCCCTAAATCCATAAGGGAAGGAACATTCTCTCTCTACACCTTTACTTTACTTGATTTTGCTAAAGAGTATCAATCTAGGTGCTTTGCATTAGGCTCCTTCTGTGTCAATACAGGTTTATCCTGGCCCCAAAATGAGTGATACTCAAAGCAGAAGCCTGTGGACGAGTACTGATCCACAATGCATTGGTTGTCTGTTTCCAGAAAAGAAAAGAAAAACCATAGTTAATGCACACAAATATGGTACCACTCCCTTGGCACATGGGGTGGTGGGACCCTGCTGGTACTACACATCAGACAACTCATGGGGCTCAGCTACATACGCTCTTTTTCTCTAAAGTATGGTGGCTGAAATAAGGCTCAATTGGCAATCCAGTAAGTTTTGTATAGGAAATGGGAAAGAAGACATCATCATGTTCATTGTCTCAGGCAGCAAAATATTTAGGGCTGGGCATGAAGTACCTGCTGTTTCACAAAAATAGAAATAGTTTTCCAATTTCCAACTCACTATCAAACTACTGAAACAAGCAATAGCTGTTGGGGCTCTGCCATCTGGCAGAGGGGATTTTGTGTCCTTATTAGCATCATGGCCAAACATGAACAGCTGTCCAGTGGCATCAAAGGGTTTGTTTGAATCACTGTCCTTGTTGGATTTTTTTTTTGTCTTTGCTTTGAAATCTGGGGAAAGAAATTAAGGTTGAAGACAGACTGTGGAAGAGATTTCGTATCTGTTACTAACTTGCTCGCACAATTATGGTGTTGTAGTACATCCTGAGGTTGATGGGTTCACTGATGATTTAGAGGGAATTGTGGGATTTCCTGGAGCACAAAGTGATGAAGATTCAAGTCAGGGAAATTATAGTTCTCTCTGGGAAAAATCTGACTCAGAAAGTGCAGGGCTTCAAGATCAGTCAGAGGAGCCAGAAACTGCAATATTAGATAGGAGTTGGGTGAAGAGCTAAATGATACGGAAGGCTCCCAGGGAAAAACTCCTGGAACTACAGAGATAAACAAAAGTCTTCATTTACAAATTAGAGCAGAAAATAAGCAGCACTAGTCAGAGCGATTACGTGGGAAAGCTGGGGAGAAAATTTGTGGGAAAAGGAATGACTTCATGGGTGCCTATTAATTAGCAAGTTGTTTACTTAAGGGTTAGTTCAGGCAACATAGTGTTTAAGTGAGAAGCTAGGCCTGAGTTCTCTGTTTCTTGTTTCAAGTCAAGTCTTGGTTTTGAATTTAAGTACCCTGGATGTTTTCCATGTTCTTCTTGTTCTTCTCAAGTTTACTAAGTATACCTTTTGCTTGTGGACTTATGCTGTACTTGTGTCTTTTCCTGGACTGTGTTCCTTTTGGATCTGCATGAGACTTTTGGATTACTGTTTGGTTATCACCTATTGCTAACCCTGAACTTCTGACCTTGAGAGACCATCTTCCATCAGCCTCTGCCTTGTGGGAATGCTCCTGAACCCAGGTTCCCCATATATCCAGTAATGGAGAACGAATTTGATTGCTGACTAATTAATATTTTGGGTAAAAGATATTTAGGTGGGGGGGATTTTACTACTGCTTATGGGATGGATTGTGCTATAGCCCTTCAACGAAAAGGCTAGACATCTTTTCTCTAAGGAACCATCTGATGCATTATTTACCATCAATAAAACTTATTATATAGTAGTAATGTGTGCCTATCTTTGGCACCAAAGGAAGTCTTGTAGAGGTCTGGCACTACATTCAGTCCTGGAACAACATTGCAAGGAAAAAGGTTCAGGTGAAATAAGTTAGGCAATCAAGTATCAAAATAAGCCCCATTTGAAAGTTTAGACTCGAGTGTACTTAATAGCATTTTCGCCTAAGAGCAAAAGGACAAGTTGAAAACAGACTGTCCATCAAGAACACAGCTGTAATAGAACACCGCCATATGGCTTTGTAGCAAACCTATATAATAAACATTATGCAACTATATTCATATAGCAAACATGGATCTTTTGCCTTTTCATTAGTTCATTCTGTCACTCCCTAATTAATATGAAATTTCTGGAGGGACAGGTAATCCTATGAGATAGACTAGATCTCATCTGGTAAAGCAAATTAAGCACCTATCTGCCTATCTCGCAACAACTATTCATGATAGAAGAACAACAAAATCTACAAGGTACAGGAAAAACGATTGCCATCCTACCAATGACTGGCTGGATAGGTTACAACTTTAAAAAGAGGATTGTTCAGTAACCTTGGCAAGGGTTCAAGCAGTATGTGTGAAATGTTCCAATATTTCCCGTCATGGATGAACACTAGACCTCTGAGGACAATTAATCTAGTTGCTTACCCACAGAATCCTTATCAATTATAATTTACCAAGATGTATGGCTGAGAGACATAAAAGAACAATGTTGATGCAAAAAACAGACATCAAACTCACCAAATTCTACACAACCCACAAATAATACCCAAGAAACTATCAGAAAAGCCTTATTACTATTTAAAACCTTTATATCCTGATCTTCTCACCTCCGTAGAGGGACTCAGACCAGAAAAAGGTTCCACTTTTTTGCACCAGAAGGAAAGTGATACTTTCAAAAATGATTATTTAGGGGACATGGGATGTGTATAATACGCTGGATTTTTATTTGATGTCTTTTAATGGCTTCTTTTAAAACTATTTTAATACAGTACAACCTTATATCTACAGTACCTACACCCACAGTTTCATTTACATCCCAAAAATGTTCTATCTAGATATTTTATTAGATCCTCCAGCATGATTCTATGGTATGCTTCCATCAAAGTTGCTCATTTCAATAGGATCCACTATTATCCGCAGTTTCAGATTTCTAAGGGAAACCCAGGAATGTATCCCTCATGAAAATGGGGATAGTACTGTATTTTCATTAAATTTTGCATGCTGGGAATGTTAAACTTTGTTTGCTTCAATTGCTGGAAGCCACCTTGAATCATAGCATGTGTATAATATAATCGTAAATACTGATTATACTTCAACTGATACTTTATGACTATGTTAACAGCAATTTCTGGAGATAGGAGATCGCCTGGTATATTCTGCAGATTAGAATCAAAGACACACAGAGTTGGAAAGAACACAGAGGTCATCAAATCCAACCTCTAATTCAATGTAAGACATCCATCTAAAGCAGTGGTTCCCAACCTTTTTTTGACCAGGGACCATTTTGACCAGGGACCACTGGCCAGGGACCACTCTCCAACACTAGTACCAAAAGAGTTACGAATCAGTTTTTTGGTCAACTTTAGATTTGGTTTGGTTATTTGGGGTGCTGATTCAGAAAACTGAATTGGATAGACCACATCAGCTCTAGTTTCTGATACAAAACATCTGCCTGCCTACAGAAAACCATATTTAATAATCTAGAGCTGATGTGGTAGTAGTAACCTTTCGTGGGTAGTCAGCCTCCTGACGTCCCCGTTGCTTCGGCACTATAAGAGGGTTTCGCAAGACCAGTCACTCTCATTGCCGCATGGTTTTGAGGCAACAGGGTAGTAATGGTGAGACTGTGAACCATATTTTAGTTCTTGGGAACCACTGGTGGTCCATGGACCACAGGATGGGAACCACTGAGCTAAAGCATCCCCCGACTCCACCATCTCTCTAAGTAGTTGGTTCTACTGTTAAACCGCTATTACTATCAAGAATTTCATTCTACTCTTCAATCAAATTCTACCCTTCTTTTATAATCATTGGAACTGTATCTACGAGCATTAGAGAACAAGCTTGCCCCCTCCTCTTTGTGATTGTCTTTGCTGTATTAAAAGTGTGCAATCATGCCATCCCTCAGTCTTCTTTCACCAAGCTAAATATGCCCTGCTCCCACTCATTCGAGCAGGGGTTGCCACTCTACTCTGATTCAAGTGCCCCAATGGCATAGGGCACAAACCATTTCCAACACTGACCCATGGGTAAATCAACTCAGGTTTTTTGGATTTATTTTTGTCAAAAATTAGTAGACTTGTGCATGAGTATACAGAATATATATTTTTTCTTTACTTTTTCTTGAAATACCCATTCTACACTTAAAAGACCATATGACATTCAAAACTAATTTGGGGGGGGGGGGGGGGATCTGAGTAAGTAAAGGAAAAGAAAGCCAAGATTGCCTGTCTCACAATGATACATAAGGAACCAATGTATACTTGGGATTGATTTCTACATATAATAATCATTAGACTGAAGCTTACCTGTTTCTGTCTCTCTAGTTCAGCTTCCACTTCCTGTTTAGCTGTTTTGTGGGTTTCAATTTGATCCTGCAAATCTTGAATTTGCTCTCTTGTGGACTCGGTTTCACTTATTTGCTGGGATTCCATATCCTATAAATAACAACATGACACTCTATCACACCCTCTTGTTTTGCTTAACAATTTGTACTCTAAGGCATACTGCTTCCAACGCTGGAGGCAATACACAGTTATCATAACTATTATCATTAATAACCTTGTGGTTTCTTATAAGAGTGGAAACAGACCCAGTTTAATTTACAGGAAGCTAACACAGGGGATGGCAGTGCAAACCAGAAGTTATCCTATTGTGGTGCATAAAAATATATGATGTATGGTTTGAATGGAATTGTATGAAAGATGTACAGTTGGGGTCTATATAGTCTAGAGATACCATCCTAATGAATGAGGCCTATAAAACTACAAGAAGGAGGTGAAGACTTCATGGACTGTAATTAAAAGTTGCTGATGAGAACTGTGACCATGATGAACTGTTGAACTTTTGGGGAAAGGGAAACATGTTAATATTATCAGAAACAATGGCGCTTTAAATTAAGGAAATGTTTACAAGGTTCCTTATGTTAAGAAGGAAGTCAACAGAAGGCTCCTTACATTTACCAACACCAATTACGGAGAGTCAATATCTGCCAGGAACTGGGGAAGTGAGGAGGTTTCAGGCTGAAAAAACATATATCGTTCATTTACAACTTTGGAACAACATCCGCAAGCAATATTACTATATAATATTCCAAAATTGTGGCAGACCAGAGGAATCTGGTCCGCCCGCCGCTCTTCTCCATGGGAAGGAGATAGATGGTGTAACCTTTGGGAGTGGCAGATCTACAATGGAACACAGTCTGGTTACTTGCTCCTTTTCTCACAGGAAGAGAAAGGAGTGTAATTTTGGAGTTATGATATGTTTTGCAGGAAGAGTTTCTGATGTAGGGAAAACAGAGATCTGATCCTTGGCATTGTTCTTAGGGAAAGAGGATGCATGTTGGCATTTTGGAAGTATTGGAAAAGCAGCAGTTTTGCAGGGAAGCAGTCTGGCCTATCTGGTGTTCTTCTCCAGGAGATAGCAGGAGAAATTGTAATGTATGAATGAGGATGAATGATTGTGTATGGATAATGTGAATGCTGAGTGAAAATGTAATTCCCCTTTGTTTGTTAGCCAATGTAACTGTAGATTGTTTGTAGTTATGTAGTTATATAGAATCTGTATTTCTGTATGTCCAATGTCGTTCACTGAGTAAAAGTGTAAAAGTTCTGATACCCTTTCTCTTACTGGAAAATTGCAATAAAAAACTATGCTTTAAAGTTATTGAAAAGTTATTCATAACACTATTGTTATCTTCAAAAGCTGTGAAGTAGGTGAATATAAGCAGATCTGAATAGCCCAAGGGACCACTATGTAAATTGACTGAGGAATTTGATGTCAGATTTTTCTGGTGCTGATCTGACACTTTAATCACATCAGATCAACTTCTCTAATCAATTGAGCAAAATACCAGGGAGTAAAACCAGCTCCAGTGTGCCCTTGTCAGCCATTACAATAACGGCAAAGCTACTTTTTCATTCACTAAATTTATTTATTTATTTACTGTATTTGTAGACCGCCGTTCTCAGCCCTAGGGCGACTCACGGCGGTGTACAACATATAAAAAAAACACAGTTTACAATAAGGCAATATCACAACAATAATATCAACATGACTATCAATAATACAATTACACTAAATCATCTGCGCCGTCTCATCGTAGAATCATAGACCAATCTCGTTATCCATATTCCGTTCCAATCATCATTGCCAATTGTTGTAGCACTTAGTCAAACGCCTTCTCAAATAACCATGTTTTTAGTCTCTTGCGGAATGTTATAAGGGAGGGCGCCTGTCTGATGTCTACAGGGAGGGTGTTCCACAGCCAGGGGCCACCACCAAGAAGGCCCTATCCCTCGTCCCCGCCAGGCGTGCCTGTGAGGCAGGTGGGATCGAGAGAAGGGCCTCCCCAG